GAGGGGGGGAATATCCGCATTGACTATTTAAAAGTGGAGTTTCATGATATTCAGATACAAATCCAAACATTTTGCAAGCTTGAATTATAAGCTTAAATTGCAAGTGGTATTTTTCATTAATTCTTCGAGAAATAAAGTGGTATTTCCTCTTAATGACAAATCTACGAAAAAGTGTTGATTGTAATATATATATATATTGAGTAAAAATGCATGGGCGCCACCAAAACCGTGCGCGTGCCGAATAGATATCCAATCAACCCAAATTAAAAGGATGATTTTAATTGCACAGGTGAAAAAAAGAGATAAGCAAGCACCTGAGCACATATTTCATGCACCTTAGCAGTCACTTGGTAAACCTCAAGTAATACTTTAAATATTTTCTAGACACATCAAAATTGACTAAAATTAATTGAATTAATTATTACATACGTCATCTAGTATTTGCGGCATCATAGGGTGTGTGGATAGGGGTAACCAACTTTCAGCTATATCTACTAATTTTGAAGTCAGTTGTCTGTTCTAACTGTTAGTATAGATAATTATACGGTTTCGAGTTCAATTAGAGATTAATTCGCACGAGTGTGTTTTTCAAAGAGTAATTGCACGAGAACGTAGGTCGAGCTCAATTTCTGCTCTTTGAAAAACACGCGAGTGCAAATTATCCCAAATCGAACGAGAAACCGTATGATTACTTATTACTAATATACATGAAAAACATTACAAAAGTGAAGAAATATCTGGCGACGTGTGTATGTAATTCAACTTATATTATTTTATGAAATGTGTTCGTTTACAGCAAACTATATTCAAAGCGACTTCAATCTTATGTCTTAGTAGTATAGGCCGCACCGCACAGGACGGATTTTGGACGAGCAAAAGGACGAGCAGGACGAGTACATTAATTATTCTTCACATACTAGCATAAAATGACGAGCAGGTATTGTTTGAGGTTGCCATGACGTCCAATTGACGTCATGAGTTTATTGTTAGGCAAGAGTTTTGGATGAGCAGGACGAGACATTAAATATTCATTATTAAAAAGACGAGCACACCAATTGTTTATTAAACCATTACCATAAAACGACGAGCAGGTAATGTTTCGGGTTGACATTACGTCAGGCAAGTTTGGGCAAGTCTTTTGTTTACCAATCCAATTGATAGAGCGCGCGGATTTTGAATTTTTAACTCCAAAGTGGAAGGCGTCTTTTTCTGTGATATGAACATATATCCTAGTAGATTCTTGGACAAATCCCACACGGAGAAGGGGATGCTAACAGACCGCATTAGGAGAAGGTTTTGTATTGCCCGTCATCATAGCTCAGTAGCGGATAGAGTGATGTCAATACAACTGATGGGTTGAGCAAATTCTTGATAACATCCTTCGGTAATTCTTTTAAGAACGAACACCAAGCCTACATAGAGT